TGAATATTTTACTACACTCATTATTAGAACTTACCAAGGGAAACTAAACGTTATACTAAATTGCAAATTAGGCTAATGGAACTCAAAGGAAGTAGTCTATTTATTAAATTTTCTTTTAATATAATGCATATATTTTTTTCGTAATTTAAGCTACATTATGCAATATAAATTTCTGCGTTGTTCAGTACAATATGTTACTTTATTTTATTTGTTTGTTTCTGCATTTATTTATTTATTTAAATCGAGCGGGTTAAACCTCATAGCCCCCATATAATTAAAAAGTTTTGTATTTAATAAAGCTAAGAACTGCAATTATCCAAAAATTATGTTTCCACTCTACACGTTTTATATTACAAATTGTTAACCAAATGCCTTAATAGCTATATCCTACCTTCACCAATATTTGCTGTGAAAAGAAGCAACTTCTCAGAGCTTCGCCACATATCGCAAAAAGAGATCTTAACATAAGCAGCATACGTCGAAAATATCTTGCATCACCAATTCCGTCCGGTTCTATCGTTAAATTGCCGTTCTACAAACAAATATTATTTATTTATTTGGTTATTTGAAACGTAAATTTTCATACTTGTGGTGTAGACCCTGGTAGCGTATGGCTTAATAGCCAAAACAAATGATGAGCAATTCGTGGCGATCGTAAAGAACGATCTAAAAGGAAATGAGCAAGGGCATTGTTCTCATAAGTTTCATGCCGTAAAGCTACTACTAACTGTGGTAAAAAATCTACCAACTCATCCGTTCGAATGCCATGAAGCCATCTCACAGCCAATTTGCGTACTTCTATATCTGGAAATCTGTAACAGCAAGCACATTTGAAAAAATCCAAAATTGAAAACTTTTTCAAAAAACAACTTAAAAAAGTAATTGTAAAGTAAACATACGTTGGCAATAACAACTGAATGGCCTGAACAGGTGACAGCTGTTTCCAAGAATACAACATTCCATAAAGATCTTTGAGACATGCAGGTGCCCAACTATGAGCAGCTAAAAGTACTTTTGGTAAGGCTTCGGGAATTTTATATAAATAATGTCGTTTTTCCCATAACACCTATAAAACAGAAAAAAATATATTAATATACATATTCCAATATTTCTACAGATGATGATGACCATGATCCCTCCTTTGTAGTATGAGAAAATAAAGGGCAATTTTTCTTTCAGTAATTCGTTTCCTTTTTAAAACTCAATAACGCTTGTAACTTTTTCGAATCAAAATGAAATATAGTGATATATACAGACACACAAAAGCTTATTACCTCTCTAATATCTGGTGGTAACCTGCAAAGCATATCTTGCGCTGAAATTTCCAAGAGTTGCTCTTGGGTTTGTGAATCTAAGCTGTTAAAATTTCCTTTAGTAATGAATTCTTTTGAGGTAATGAACGAATTTGTAGGGGGAAATGCAACCTTGGGAGCTGCGATTTCAACTGCAAGAACTGCATGGTCAGAAAAAGGATGGCTTCCTGGGGTAGGTGCTGGACCGTATATATAATTGCATTCTTTTGGCCATATAGAAAGTAGCATGCCCCCTTGCGTCATGATACTGAAATAATTCAATTGAATACAAAATTCAAAATTGTTAAGGCATATCTACTATAACGAATTAATTTAAGTATTAAATAATTCTTCAGGAAAGATTTGTAAATACATTTAGAGTAAAAAAATGTTTGTGATTAATTTATTACTCAACCTAATATTATTTTGCTTAATAATACAAGCAATTACCTTTTTTTTTAATAACGCTTAGAGATTAGATGATTTTTCAAACTTAAACTTCAAATTTTATAGCTAGAAAGGATAATTTCAGCAAAAAATATTTAAAATTGAACTACTACTTACCCTTTATAATCAAAAAGTTGAACAGAAGCCCACCCAAGTTCTTCTTGTTTGTATTGAGGAGCACTAGAGCTGTCTTTATCTTCATCATTCTGGAGCTTTCTTCCATATATTACTAGCACAAGTCGTGCTTCCCTTGCTAATGTGTTTATAAGGACGTCTTCTAAGTCCAGCCTTCAAAGAATATAAAGACAATTGTTTTACAAAAATATTTAAAATATAAATATGTACATATATGAACGTACATAAAGAAACATACCAGCAATTAAACAATATTCTAGAATATAAACTTTGGCTTATTTCACTTGGCTGAGTCAACAGGGGATGTCCAACTGGTCTTGTTCCGTGATAAACTTGAGCAGCTATAAGATAGTTGTCATATTTCCAATCCATTGACGGTCGATGAATTGAGCAAACTCGGATTAATACAGATTCATTAACATCCTGAATTTTTGATGGGGC